CGGGGCGGGGTCTTTTGCACCACGTGAGCACGTTTGCAGCTTCGCTTGCACCGGCGGTGGTCCGCTGGTCCGCACGCACAAGCCCGCCCGGGGGCCCACCCCTGCGGCCCCTGCCCGCCCCGTGGGGCTCGGCCCGAGTCTCCGCCGCGACCGACCAGCAGCTGTGTTTTGCTGCGCCTGGCTCCGCCGCGCGTCTCGTCTGCGGCCGGTTCCGGAAAGCCGGCCACATTAGTCCCATCGACCCCCTCCTCCTCCGCCTCGCCCGTTGCGCCACTCCGCGCCACGACACGAGCGAGCATCCCCTCCACCGCCTCCACCCCGCGCACCCCCACCCCACTAACGTCACCCAAAATAAGCGCACCTCATCTAAACAAGCTCCCGGTACACTTGACCCGGCTCCCACGTCGCCTCGTGCTGCAAGTCGTGCAGCTCCCCATGCACGCGGCCGCTCTGCCATTCAGAAATGGGAGGGAGGGGCGGGGGAGGGGGTAGCGGGAAATCCACCCCCCCCCCCCCTTACCCCTACAACAACGCCTCGCCCGCGACACCGTGAGCGTGAGCCGCGCCGAGCCGCCACCGCCGCCGGCTGCTGCGCCGGATGGACCGATAATGACGATTCTCGCAACGGAAGTCGCGCCGCGTACCTGCGGCAGCACGCTTCCGTTAGGCGCCATTGCTGCTTGATGAGAAAAAAATTTAAAATAACTGATTTGACAGCTTGGCGTCGTCATCACTGTTATCTCCCATGCACCCGCCGCTCTTTAATTTAATCTTTATTTCCCTAAAACTATCCTTAGGTAAATCTTTCACTAACTAATTTCAATGGAATTCTAAACATTTTTACAGGAAGTGATTGTAGATTTCTACAACAATTTTCACAATAGTTGCTGTATTTAATTGGAAAGAAGAGCTAGACACAAGCAGTTGAGGTCTAACATTTTTCAAAAAGAGCAATCTTTCTGCCATGGAGGGGTGGAGGGAAGGGGGGGTGGTGACTTGCGTCTTGAGTACCAACTCGTTCACCAAAGGGATCGTCCAGAGAGTACGTCCGGTTTTCACGGATTCATTTGGCATATATGACGGGAGCTGAGCGCCTGCGAGACTCAGGGTAGGCCACCCCGCCGTACACACGTGCCCTGCAGGCAAGATTCTGCCTACCTATCAGGTGCTATGAGCGCTCGCACGGCGCAAGTACTTTCTGGATTATCCCCAACTTGGACAAGCCGCGTAGTAACGCGTTCTAATGGCAAATCATCGTAAATTGTGCTGTAATAACAATTATTGTGTATTAAGATGAAAAATGTCGTAACTTATGGGGCAAAGCCATTAACGTGCACTACCGTAATAACTTAAGTTGTTCTAGAACAATTGTTCTATATCCTCTGAAGTAATTTCCCCCTCGCGATATGTATGATTTGTGAAAATATAGTTATTGCAATTTTAAAAGACCGAAATCTCATTAGCAAATCCAAATCCAGAATGCAAAAATCAGAAATAATATGTGAAGGCTGGCGTTTTCTGGAGACCTATCTTCCAGAGGTGTGCGTAAAATATTAAAAAAAAATAATCTTTTTAACCTCATCAAAAACGAGATCTCGTAACAATACCCCCATATGTAAA